TCCTCAGCTACTTTGTTTTTTCCCAGACAATTTTAATTTTGTCAGAAGGTGTTTAGGTCTATTAAAATCTGAGTTGCAGAACATTCTTGAATATTCATGACCAGTCATGGGGCATTTAACAGTCACTTAGATGATCATGAATTTGATGCAGCAGATTCTTTGTCATTGATCATGGTCTTATACTAGAGGAAGTATCGATTTAAGAATCGGCATGAATTTCTGCCCAAGGAATAGAGTACGCAGTGATCTCATAATAGGCATAAAAACTCGCCGCAGTGTTTTAGCTTTACTGATACATTGCTCAGTTCTGTTACTGTTGGTAAGAATAATAATATCTTGTCACTTCTGATTTACATATCGTAGTCCTACCATCCATTGATTTTAACAGTCTAAGGGACTCCTTAACAAGGCAGCGGCTCCATGGTAATATAACAGCGGCAATGCATGGATTTATAATAGCACCGTTGTATATGTCGAACAGAACCTCGTTGGATAACGAATATAATGCGACTACATGTAGGAATTTTGTGTCTCTGTCGACGTGAGATTGATTATATGCAGTTTCAATATTGTCCAAAACATCTGTTTGCCGTGAAAATTCTTTCGAATAATTTTGTCTGATTTCTGAACTAAGAAATTTGTTTCTCGTCTGATCTCTCAGCTTGATTAAATGTTGTTTTCAGAGATTGTCTTCCCTTTGGCTTATGAGTATTTCTCTAGGTATATTGTAACGTACGCTGAACCTAAAAATCGTTACGCTGATGCTTCCGATGCACTGAAAATTTGGGACGTGCGGACCGGCGAGATGAAACGCGCTTTCGCATTTGCGTCACATATTTGTAAGCGCTGGCCGTGTTTCAAGTAAAGTTGTTTTTTGTCGATGCTTGTAAATCTTTTCTCTAATAATTTTTTTCTTAAGATGGAGTCATGATGGCAGCTTTTTTGCAGCTTTAAAAGACGACGTGTTGAGCGTCTACGAAACGTCGGTATATTACTTGTGGCGCTTTTTAAAGTTCTTTGTTTCTTGTTCTGACGAATATCTATAATGATGGCTTTGTATTCGTTTATTTGAGAATATATTGCCCATTCACTCATTGTTCGCACCAGATCTTGAGGGAAGCATCGGGATGGAGTACATTCTGCATTAATATTTAGTATATGAATATCTGTTAAGACTGATATTGTTCTTGTAGTCATGGACGCACAGTCAGCACAGGAACTCATAATGGAAAGACTTTCTACTCCTCGCTGGGACACCATGCCTTGAATTTTCTGTAGTGGAAAAAACGTGAACCTGTATATGCGAAGGTAGCAAGGAACTGATCGTTGTAGTAGTCATTTAACTCTGGATTATGCCTTTAAGAAATATGACTGTTTTGGAATTAAATTACACTCTCATTACCTACATTAAAGACATGCCGTAGACAAAACGCATCACTGGTCTGTAGGGAAAAACGACATCCGGACTGGTGTAAACTGCTAATTCGTTTCGTCTTGCCAGCCGGATTCTCGTAGAGACGAGTTGCATAGTCGGTTAAGCGCTTCAGACTCAAAACTGCTAGGTCCCGGATTCGCGCTCTGGTTTGGTTACTCACTTTTATTCCTTCCGACGTGCCATTCTGTGAAAAGGAAACAGAAGACTACACACAATTTTAGCAGCATAACTGTTGTCTACTGTGTCGTTAAAATAAGGCATTCCTGACTGATGACATGGAAATGGAAATCCGCGCTCAACCATTAACTTTAGGAAATGATAGCCAGAAATGCCGGCATAGGGAACGTTCGCATTCCACCGCTTACAAAGTTTCCTTTTTTCTCACGCATGTCACTGCTCAGAGCCGCGTGACCCCCCGTTCATCATCGCATCCGTCGACATGTTTCTTCAAGTTTAGAAAATTATGATTTGGGAAAGAACTTTCGGTTGAAACTTTCGACTCTCTTCCAAGACTTATTAGCAAGTATGATATTGCTGTGGCAGGACACATGCTGATGGATGATCAAATGTCTTTCCAAAGCGATAGAATAATTAGGACGGAGATTCTTGCATTCCAAATCATGGGGAGCGATTTTCACACTGAATCGAATATTTATAGCGTCTTCTAATGCAGCATTATATTACTTCTTGTTTTACTTTGTTCTTATGACTATAATAGCATCATGTTCCGCCTGTTCTCTTGAAATTAACTAAGTAAATAAATTTGAACGTGAAGAAAACGTGATATAATAGAGGGGAAGGGTGACACTGAAAAGATGTCCGCTTTAGACTTAAGGGGTACTGGATTCAAATCACCAAATGAGCAAGTTCTGTTGAACTGCTATACTTCCCTTGAGCAAGCAATCCGCCCGTTATCCACGGCTAATCTCCCTTCTACTTCGTAAGTGCAGTTAGCTGGGAACTGCCCGAAGATCGTTAACTTGTGAACAGTAAGGACATACTAGTGTTCTGGCCTTATCAGATGGGATTATGAAAGATACGGCTGCTCTGTCTGATGCTAACGCCTTAAGGCTGCGAGAACCCTTGATCCACGTTATAACTGATTGTATAGTGTACGAATCAACACCAGGTGCAAACCCAATAAATCTTTTCTCCGTGTGAGTTGACATCTGAACAAATCCGGATTGCACATGGAGTGAGGCAAATTCAGATGACGCTCTACAGATGGTTTCATTTATGTGGTTCATAAATATTTCTGCCACTGAATACTTCCTTTGACTTTTGCTCTCCTTCAGAAACATGATAGGTCTTAATGTTACTGAGTTTTTCACATGAGAAATTCATAAATCTGTTATACCTCTAACATATTAAAGAGGTGTCTCGTCAGCTATTTTTGTTCGATTTTAACAGTCATTCACAGTTTTATTAAAATTTGATTTGATTCGATGTAACTCTATGATTTTCCCTAGTTTCTTTGTGAATTTTCTGAATCCATTTTCTTTACAGCAAAATTACGATCTTTAGAATTATTCCTTAAACTGTAAATTTTTTGTACCTGGAAAAGTGATTCTTCGATCCTGCATGTTTGTAAAGCTTATTTTATGCAGTGCCTTGAGTTGTCATAAACTTTTTCGAGATTTCTAAACCTGAACATCTTTGAACGTGAAGATTGAACATAGGCGGTTGTTTATTGTAGTCTTTTGCGTTGCTGGGGAAGAAGAGTTTGAGGATTGATGGCATTCGCGACTTTCAATGGTCGCCAAGTGCACCGTTCCTCGCTTACTGGGTCGCTGAAAAAAACCAGGCGCCGGGACGTGTTGCGCTGATGAAGATACCAGAGAAGATCGACGTCCGAAGTAAGAACATGTTCAACATGGCCGAAGCGAGTATCTATTGGCAGAAGTCAGGCGACAACCTATGTTTTAAAGTCGATCGGTACGGAAAGAAGAAGGAAGAGAAAGACGGTGAAATCAAATACAGCGTAAATTGCCTTTTAGCGTTGTCGTAGACTGTTGTTTTTAAATTTGTGTGCATGTTTAGGGCATTACGTATAACCTGGAAATTTTTCACTTTCGAGAGAAAGAGGTGCCTGTTTCGACTCAGGAGGTGAAAGGTAGAAAAATGTTTTGGTTTTATATCGAATTTTTATTAAAA